AGATAATTTCGTCTGCTTTGGCGACGTCTGTAAAGGAATACAGTTTTGTGACATAATCTTTACTTTTTAAAATTCGTCAGCCTTTCAATGTAACTGTATTACTTACCCGCGATAATATTAAATTTTCTAAAAATAAAATTGTCATTAAATTTTTTTTTACATAGTAATGAATTTGAAATTATACTTATTAACTGATATCAAAAAGTGTTTATCAAGCTGAAAGTATAGCATGTAAGGAAGAATTACGTCGATTCTCAATGTTCAAATCCGATTTTTAATGTATTAATTTAATATTTGAAAGCGTAAATAATAAGTTAATCAACTCATCCTATAGTTATTGTTATAAATTATAGGAATTCTAACTTTTTAACTTTTATTCATTTCGGAGAAATAGATTGGCCGTTTCGCTCATTTAACTTACCCTGAGGAACAAAATGTTTCGTTGCATTTATACTAATACTTGGTCATGCTTAATTCTGGTGTGTGGATTTCTAATTTGAAATTTATTTTTGCTACTAAGGCTAAAAATTTTTAACTGACATTTTTAGTCTATTTTTTTCTGCAAGTTTAAAAACGCTGCATAAAATCTGCAAGTTTAAAAACGTTATATATAACAGGTGGTAGCGTAAATGTTGCGGCAAGCGTAAAAGGGAGTTAAAGCATATCATCAGGATTAAAATTGCTTAGGTACTCATGCATGGAAATATTATCATATGTGGTTATGGGTATTTTCCTATTTTGATCTTTTCGGAAACGCATGTAGAAACAGTTCATAATAAAAAAGCGTCTCGGGCTGGGATTCCTATGCAATTTTAATCCTGATGATGTGTCTTAGCTTACCTCTAAGTTTATCGCAACATTTATGTGATCCTATGTTGCCTATAACGTTTTAACGCTTGTATATTTTGACAAAAAATAGACCTAAAATGTTATATTAAAAAGAAAAAAAAAACTGTATCTTGGAGAGAGAAACTGATTGTAGATTTGAAATCAACGATACGGAAGTATCTATAAGATGTTAAAAAAATCTCACGCAACAGAAAGAAATATTTTCTAATGTAATACGCTGTTTTGCTCGCTTACTGATTTAATTCAAAAATATGCCTACATTAATACACTAATATGCTTCACTAATTCCGTCATCACTGATTTAACTATTTTCTGATATGTTGTTTCACCTACTCAATCATTTCCTTTTCTCTTTCTATTATTTATTAATATACTTTTATCTTTCCATTCTTTCATTCATTTATTTAAGTTTTTTCTTTATTTTCATTTATCTATTATTAGCTTCCCTTCTTTTTTCATTCATTAATCATTAACTTCTTTTTATCTTTCCGTTCTTTCACTCACCTTCTTTCTTTCCGTTCTTTCACTCAATTACTTTCTTTCTTATCCCTTTCCGAGTCCCGCAGTGGACTGATCGATAAGACGCGGTTCCCAGCAGATCACCGAAGTCAAGCATCACTGGCTGCGGTCAGTGTGCGGGTGGGTGACCACTTGGATCATTCTGCGTAGGGACCGAGGGTCTGGGGTATTGGTCCTCGTCAAACTGTGCTACCGTAAAGTGCTCGACTTCTCGCGCATGTCGTCGGGCTACCGAAGCGGGGGTGCCATCCCCTCCGCAGAGGATCAAAATTGTGATGGCATGCCTTCGGATCATCCTCCGGGATGTTTCCCAGACCGTCGCCAATAGCCCATTGTGCAGCTCTAGTGTGACGTAAATTAACAACAACAACAACAAAATCTTATCCCTTTCCATTCATTTATTCATTCACTTTTCTCTTTCCATTCTTTCATTCATTTATTTCACTTTTTCTTTTTTTTTCATTTATCTATTAGCTTCCTTTCTTTTTCATTCATTTAATCGTTAACTTTTTTTCTCTTTCCGTTCTTTTATTCAATTACTTTCTTTCTTATCCCTTTCCATTCATTTATCCCTATTTATTTAACTAAAATATTATATAGCGCTCTAATAGTAAAAAAAAAAAAAGAAATGTTAAAATGAAACTTTAATAATCGTTCAGTATACATTGGGCACTTAATTGTGATAATTTTCCTAAATTATGACAGTCCCTTACAGCGTTTTAAATGATTATTTGACCACGGAATTTCAGGTGCTCAATGATTTCCTTCTTTTCTCTTTCTATTAATTTATTCATTCACTTTTCTCTTTCCATTCTTTTAATCAGTTATTTCTCTTTTCTCTTTATTTGCATTTATCTATTAGCTTCCTTTCGTTTTTCATTCATTTAATCATTAACTTTTTTTTTATCTCTTTCCTTTCTTTCACTCAATTACTTTCTTTCTTATCCATTTCCATTCATTTATCCCTATTTATTTAACTAAAATATTATATAGCGCTCTAATAGTAAAAAAAAAAGGAAATATTAAAATGAAACTTTAACAATCGTTCTGTATAAATTGGGCACTTAATTGTGATAATTTTCCTAAATTATGACAGTCCCTTAAAGCGTTTTAAATGATTATTTGACCACGGAATTTCAGGTGCTAATCCGTGACTTCTGTCTTGTTAATTGAAGCTTTCCCATCATATAAAATATTGTTTACAATAAATGTGTGCATATGTAATACATATTAATTATATCATTTAATATCTGTTTGTCTTTATTTCAAACAAGAAGCGCTTACGAAATGTCATTGATAAACGTGCTTTTAAAAATGAAAATATGGGTTGTATAGCGAACACTATCCTAAATTGTTCCTAAATTGAGTTTTATTTTTTCATTTTCTGTGATGTTACAGAATGTAAACGATTTTTTTTTAAACGAAAAACGATTTTTTTTGGAGCTTAAGCTTTCGAAAGAATAGCAGCAACCAATGCAGAGCTGTGAAACTTTGTTGTGAGATGTTTATAAACATTTGTGTTAAAATTATATTAATTTGTTAAAGATAAATTATTACACCAAATTGTAAAATAATGTGCAAGTAACTTTTGGTGATTTTTTGCATTTATTAAATAATAGTTCTTTTAGTACTGTACACCAAAAATAAATTCTTAAAGTTGATAAACGGACTAGAACAATTTTAGGACTGGCCCTACAATCAATGGTAATCTTCAAATTTAAGCCGTATTTTAGAAAAATTCGTTAAAATTTTACCTCAGTTTACTAATACCGCCTAAACCTTTGATTTAATTTTTTTATTTCATGATATTACGATAAGACCTTTTTTGAACTGTGATCCAACTCCAGTTAAATCCAGTTAATTATTGGTGCAATTATCATTCCAGCTAAGTTTTGTTAAAGAGAAAGTCCCTACATTTATTTAGGCAAATACCTTTTAACTCCTTGATGTTGAAAATAACATATTTTCCCGAATGTCCAAAGATGAGTAATAAAATTACCTTTTTTTAAATGAAACTATTTTAAACGTATGCATTTTAAGGAAATTAAATTCAATCAGAATATATGCGTTTTATTTTATTAACATTTTCGTTTTATATCTTTGGAACAAAAATGATAAGAAACGGTAAGGAAAACTGAGGTGAGATAAAATTTCAAGGCTCTATTCAGAAAACGTTTTGTACACTTATACATTTATGTGATAATGACATTTTCTTTTTAAAAAATATGATAGGAAAACATTGCTTATCTTTATTTGGAGAATTGTCCTCTTATAAAGTATTATTTTTTAAAATTACAACACATCTTATTAAAGGCTATGACAGGTTTTTTTCTTATCTGGATCTGTTTTGTTTACCCTCTTCTCATCCTAATCGCAAGAAAAATATTTGAGTAAAATACAGGATTTATTTGTAACCTTGTATAATATTAAACATATCTTTTAAAAATCCCATTTACACACATCAATAATTTGAATGAAGGTGAAGGATCGTTTTTTTCCCCGAATGATTTTTTTAAACTTTTTTTTAGGATGCTAAGCTATGCTTTTTAATTGTTTCTTTATAACGAAAGTTAATGGCATATGTTAATGGTAGTCAGTGCATTTCAGAGAGTTAATGGTAGTCAGTTCCTTTCTATTTGACAAAAAAATCATATATGATGCTTAATTGACAAAATCAGATCTGAAATTCGTCAGTAAAATATTAATAAAAATTATATGAATATTATTTATCTCTCACCAGGGTGCGAAGCGTTTTTAAAAAGTGCTTAAAGGTGCTTATTTTCGATTTTCGTTTGTTAAAAGCACTTAAGGGTGCTTTTTTTCATTGGGTGTTTTTAAGAAGCGCCTAATTTACCCTTTTTCAAAATGAGATTTTTCCTTTACTATGTTGATTTTCCCTTCGAATTATGCAAGAAGACGCAGTTCACATTGTTCTACTCATCGTTTTCACAATTAATTCAACCTCAATCCATTTCGGCGTATTGTCAGTCCGTAGAGTGTGAAAACGCCATTCGTTTTACATGATTTAAAATTTCATGATTTTTGACAATTGTCAAAAACAATGCCAAATTTTTTTTCTGACATGACGGTTAAAAGAAGATAATATCGTCAATTGTCAAAAACTTTCCAACCATGCCTAATTATATATTTTATAAAGCGCTTAAAAATATTTTTGAGTGCTTCTCGCTCCCGTGAAAATGATGGGTTAAGGTTTCGCCCTCTATTTACTCGCTCCCGTGATATTGACGGACCTGAGTGTCCAGTAGTAAAGCGCCAACAAGAATAAGCTAATTAATTTCTTTCTCCCGGAAAACTTTTTATTTCTCATTTCACGCACCAGATGGCAGTACCAGGATATTTTTAAGGCAATTGTAGATAGTTAGTTTATTTTAAACTAGATGTCAGCACTAATCAAATACGTAATACAAATACAAAAGCCAAAAAAATAGGCACTTTTATGGCCGTTTTCTTGAAAATTAACCGATCGTTATGGGGTTAAAAGTTGCTTATTTTTTGTTGAATAATTTGGCTACGCAACCTGTCTTATTGAACAATATATTTAATACTTATAATCCTAATTTAAGCGTAAACTAAATTAAACAGCCATTAAATTCCATATATTTTTCTTGAAGGCTCAAACTAACTTACAGAAACGGCGTCCCTGAACGTTAAGGGTTTTCGGGGCATGGATTCCAGGGAGCGCTTGAACAGGCTCAGTGAGAGTGGTGGAATCAGTGTGCCTCTGGAAGATTATTGGAAAGAGTTCAACAGTTTTGACGATGGAGTTCAGCAAGACGAGGACGAGGAAGATATTTCTAAGACCCCCGACGGTAAGTCTCTTGAATGCATTCATTCATTTAAGCTGGAAAAATATCTGAATGCATTATTTGTCTCTTTGTAAATTCAGAAACTGGAAGCCGTTATTTTATGTTGCAAAATGGCCATTCATGCCAAGCTTCGTAATGAATGTTAATGAATGAGCTTCCTGCTTTTATGTTGCCGCTCAGGTAGTTGAAAACGGCTATGATTACTTTTTTTTATTTTTTTTCTCAACCGCGTCTGACATTATTTCTTTTATTTTAGCAAGCTTTATGTTGCTTAGATTTGCAAAAAGTTTATAATCGTTATATATCCGCCTGAGAACGGAGCTGTTAATATTGACAGAAGATGCGATTTTAACTTAAAAACATGTATGAATAATGTCTTAGAAGGAAGTAATCTTCTATATGCAATCAAAATTTGTTTAAAATGATTAAGTAAATGTAATTTTTTTTCCGTGTATGACATTATTTCTTTTATTTTAGCAAGCTTTATGTTGCTTAGATTTGCAAAAAGTTTATAATCGTTATATATCCGCCTGAGAACGGAGCTATTAATATGGACAGAAGATGCTATTTTAACTTAAAAATATGTATTAATAATGTCTTAGAAGGAAGTAATCTTCTATATGCAATCAAAATTTGTTTAAAATGATTAAGTAAACTTAATTTTTTTTCTTCCGTGTTTTACATTATTTATTTTATTTTAGCAAGCTTTATGTTGCTTAGATTTGCAAAAAGTTTATAATCATTATATATCCGCCTGAGAACGGAGCTGTTAATATTGACAGAAGATGCGAATTTAACTTAAAAATATGTATTAATAATGTCTTAGAAGGAAGTAATCTTCTATATGCAATCAAAATTTGTTTAAAAAGATTAAGTATATATACTTAGTTTTTTTTAAAAAAAATTATTACTAAAAAATTATGAATGTTATTTTTTAGTACTTTTTACCATACTGTTGGATATTTTATTAGTTTATATCTTTAAATTTTGGTTAATGTTTAGTCATTTGGTTTGGATATTTGGTTTTCCAAGACTTAAATAATGAGATATAATGCGTCATAAAAACAATTTCTTATATAATTTTTCGTTGCAATTAAAAATTCTAACTAGCGAGGGTAATGCCGACCGGCATGTGTAGCGGGCAGGGAACTGTCCTTACATCAGAAAGGTCCTGGTTTCGAATCCCGGGAAAGGCATGGATATTTCTTTCTCTCTCTGTGTGTTCTATGTCCTTTCTCCTTTGTGTGTGAATGTGACCCGCCCTATAAACGGGTTGTGTTATGTGAATGGCGTGGCAGAAGTCGAATTCCTGGCCATAGATGGCGCCACTGAAAAACAGGAACAATCGCACCCCCACTGCCTAAACAGGAATAAAAAAAGGCAGGGTAATATCAATTGTGTTTCAACAAAAACAATCGCTTTGTGAAGGCATAAAAACGTAAAAAGTCTTAAAATTGTGCCAAATGTTGTCCAATATATACTCTATGCTGGGACTCAGTGGGTTATTTATTAGTAGTTTGCTTAAAATAACTTTTAAGTATTAAATTTCTGGGAAAAAGATTAAACATATAAAAAATATTGGAAAGCTACATTGTATTCTAAAATATAATTTCATGGTCTATTATTTCACCGCAAAATGTTCTTGTGACTTAATTTTCGTTTCCGTAACGATTTTTCGATTACGAGTTACACAGAAATAACTGAAAAAACTGATAACAATGCACAAAGGGTCTCTGCCACTATCACCATTTTCGAATTTCGATTGCAGCATTTCTTGATTGACTGCGGAAAAAAAAATTGGTTTATTTTTCTTAAACTTCGTGCAATTTATTGCAATGTCTGTTATAAATTCAAAAGTATAGTACATTCGAAAATCGAGTCGTTCATTTTTGCTAATCTATTGGTATATCGGGTGATAAGACAATTTGATATAGGATCTATATTGGCTGAATATTGGCAAAATGAAAATGTAGCTTGAATTGAAAAATTCCATATAAATCCGATATTGGCTAAATAGTGGCTGTAAAATATTGGGTGAATCGGACAATTCTATATAGGGTCTATGTTTACTGAATAAGAGCTATGAAATATCGGTTAAATCTGACAATTATATATATAAGGTCTTTAATGGCTGAATAATGGCTATAAAATAGCGAGTAAATCTGACAATTCTTTTTGCTACCGATATGGACTGAATAATGACTATAAAATATTGGTTGAATCAGAAAATTCTATATAGAAACGATGTTGGCTGAATAATGGCTATAAAATATCGGGTGCATCTGACAATTCTATATAGGGCCTATATTGGTTAAATAAGATCTATAAAATATAGTCTGAATCAGAAATTTTATTAGGATTGAAAGATATAGTCTAAATCAGACAATTTTATTATGAATATTTAGAAAAGGCAATTTTGTTAAGAGTTAAAACTCATCAAAATTATTCTCAAAGTCTTTGATAAAATAAGCTTTTACCAATTTTTTCCCAATTTCTTACATAAAACTTAAAAGGCCTTAATGTGCACGAGCNATATAAAACATATTTTTCAAACTTTAATGAACGTAGAACAAGTATTGCATTGCTTTATATTTCTTGAAACGACTCATAATAATTTTAAAGAGTAAAACATTGTTTTAGTTCAATATTTTTACTTCTATTTAAGTCATGTCATAAGGCATTTTTAGCGCAATTTTCGCATTTTAAGGGCATTTTTTGCAGTTTGTAAGGGCATTTTTTGCACTTTTTAAGGGCATTAATTGAGATTTTTTAGGCTATCAAAATCCGGGCTCTAGTTATTACTATTTTTTTGGGGGGGGGAAACTCAAAGAAAATTAAATTATCAGCAAGTGAATATTTAGAAAAGAAAATTTTATTAACAGTTAAAACTCATCATAATTATTTTCAAAGCCTTTGATAAAATAAGCTTTTACCAATTTTTTCAAATTTCTTATATAAAGCTTAAAAGGCTTTAATACGCACGAACATGTATAAAATTGAATTTTAAGTTTTTTAAAGATGTTTTATTAAGTTTTTATTTTGTTTCTTGTGTTATTTTTGGCACATGAACGATTTTGTTTAATTAAAGTGATGTTTTATTTTTTCTTTCTAAACTAATTAACCATTTTTAACTACGCAATGCAATAAAAAAAAACAGTTTAAAACACTTCATTACGTATGCATTTCAAAATTGTTTTTCAGAAGGTGAAGCGGAAGAGGAATGGTTGCGGGAAGCTGGTTTCGAAAACCTTGTCGATTCAGGTAAGCTTACGTAATCATCTAATGACTGTTACCTAAAAATAAGTCTTTCTTTTTTTCAGTTCGTTAATTCCAACTTTTTGAATTGATTTAACTGAGTACGTAACATCCTTTAAAAATAAGTAAACAGTTCTCAATTTAAATGCAAATATTTCTGTTGGCGGAATTTTTAAGAAATTATTTTTCGTGTGTAATTTATCAGGGTGCGTAGCGTTTTTAAGAAGTGATTAAAGGTGCTTTTTTCATTGGGTGTTTTTAAAAAGTGCTTGATACTCCCTCTTTCAAAATGATATTTTTTCTTTACCATGTTGATTATCGCTTCGAATTATGCAAAAAGACACAGTTCACATTGTTCTATTCAACGTTTTCACAATTGACTCAACCCCAATCTATTTCTGCGTGTTGTCAGCCCGTAGCGTATGAAAACGCCATTCGTTTTGCATGATTCAAAATTTCATGATTTTTGACAATTGTCAAGAACAATGCCAATTTTTTTTTTGACATGACGGTTAAAACAAGATAAAACCGTCAATTGTCAAAAACTTTCCAACCATGCCAAATTATGATATTTAAATTATGATGCTTAAAATATTTTTTGAGTGCTTGAAAAGTGCTTAAAAGGAGCTTATTTTTTGTTGAATAATTTGGCTACGCACCCTGTTTACTGTAAAATTTATTTTTGACTCGTTAAATATGTTTTGGCTTAAAGATTATTCAGCAATAGTTTTAAAAGTTAATTGTACGTATATTACTTTTACAAGTCGACAAAAAAGTCCTTATTTTTTCGTGTTGGCAACAAAGAATTGAAATATCAAGCGCGTGAGATGTTTTAAGCACGAAAACTTAAAGTTGCGAGTTTACATATATCAGAGTGAAATTTTTTTTGTCTCGCTTAGACAATAAAAAGCTGTAACAAACTGAGCTGTATGTTTGGAAAAATTGAAATGTTAAAAGTGGATATTTCACATCAACAAATGAAGTGTTTAAGTATGCTTATGCATTATAAATAATTATAATTTTATACATTTTTATTGTTATTCATTTAAAAATGAGATTAGTCATGCTGTTATTCTCTTGAAATATAAAAATATAATAAAAAAGCTTGCCCAAAGAGCAGAAAAAAAGCGTTGATGTCAAATATGAAAAAACGTAACAATGAACCTGCTGTCATGCATGCTGTCTTGTAACAGCAAAATTATTGTTTTTTCCTCCCTCAAGTTTACTACGGCATATCATTTAATTCAATTTAAAATTTATATTTCAATAACTTATTTTTGACTAAAAACTTTAATTTTTTTAAAAGAGAAATTAACTTTTAAAGATTTTAATAATTGATTTAAATTTATAAAATTTTACTCTCAACACATTTCGAATGTGTTTAATTTGGTAGTGAGCAAAACGATCAAGGTTTGCAAAACAAAACCGTATGAGAATGAGTAGCAGCCTTTGGGGGTGTCAGCTGACAGGGGGTGGTGCCTCCTTGCTCTTAATATTGCTCTAAAATTTTAAATAGACATTTGCTTTCATTATGAAAATTTCATTCGTTGATTGAATACTGTCTTGCAAAACGTTATTCAAAGGCAATGAAAATAATTAATGCTGGTAAGTTCCATAAATAAGTGATAAGTAATTTAAAGGTTAATTTCATTATAAATTTTGCTAATTTAAAGCTGATGACATTCAAAGTTGGCTGGATCTTTGTTTATTGAGTTCGTATTTGGTTTCGTTCGTGTTTGGTTCATTCGATTCAGAGCTAAAAAAAACTCAAATAAATTGGGATCAATACTTTACTTGTCTAGAGAGCAAAGTCAATAGGTACAAGTCCTTTTTGTACATAAAACTGTTATAAATTCTAAACAATTAGTTTCATTATCTTAAACTTGGTCATATTTACATCAGCTTAAAACATTTTAAAGTTAGTCTCACTTGCCTGTATGGAAGAAATTCAATTCAATCTCCCAAATCTTGTTGCTTTAAACATCGCAGTTGCTTTAAATTTGATTTAGTAAAATTGTTTTTTAAATCAACCATTGTAAAATCACATAATTCATTTTAGCATTTTGTAATAACGAATCCTCCATCTTTGTTTTGTGCAGACATTCTTCTTAATCTGTTTGTAACATGTCCATGTTGTTAATTCGAAGGTAGGTTTAAACAGAAAACAACATTCAACAGCTATGAACGACGTGCTTTTGTAGCATTGTAAAACCACGTCTACAAAACTTAAAGATATGTAGGATTTATAAGAAGTCGAGCAAGCGCAATTGCTTAAAATCTTACCTACGGGAGCGTATGGAATGTAACGTAAAAGCACGGAATCTCCCAATTTAAAATCTTCATCGTGTTACTTGCCTTTTTCATCCATCAACCCTCTTCACTTATTGGTTGTCCAAAAAATGATCAACGATGTGAACAACTAGTTCAAGAAAAACGATAGGAGATCGAAAAGTACGGTTTGCTGCTTTCAACTTAAGAAACCAGATGAATTATTCCCACTAAAAAAAAAAAAAAAAAAAAAAAAAAAAAAAAAAAAAAAAAAAAAAAAAAAAAAANTACTTACTTTCATTAACTATAAATATTAGTATGTTTAAGTTGTATGAAAGTAACTAAAATCCTACTATGTAAGTATAAAATAATAAAGTTAAACAAAAAAAGTGTGCTAGGTCTAAGTATTTGGTGTCATTTTATTTTAGAGCTTACAGAACAAGACCAAGCTGATTACTATGAAGATATTTTGGCAACTTTGACGCCTCGTCAAATCGCCGTAGTCAAAAAACGTTTAGATACTGTCCAAAGATCTAAGAAAAGACGTGTGCCACGAACTCGTCAGAGAGCCGACGTCAGAGATTTGTTCAATCCTGCTTCAGTATCTCCTCCTGAGGTTTGTTGAAATGCTGCGCTTTTTTTCTTCTATTTTTTTATGCAAAGTGTTTCATAACAACCATTCTTTATATATTATTTTGATACTAAAACAATATGTCGTGCAAGGGTAGCAAATTAATGTTTTAAAGAGTCGAAGTTTGACCAATCGCAGCTTAGAAAGGTAGGTTTACAAAACAACTGTCTTGATTTCTGCTTGAAACTTGAAGTGTGTGGAATACTTGTCTTTCAACTCTTTTCTGTTTGGTAGTATCCCTTCCATAGAAAGGATGAACTTTGGTGAGTAAGAAAGTCAGTAGTGAGTTAATGATAATTATTGTATATAAAATATTTAAATTTCTGGTATGCAATAAGATATATCTTATTGTACCATTTTCTTGTTTATAGTATTTATCTTATTCTCAGTATCTATTAAAGAATTTAAAATTAAGTAAAAGTAGAAAAAAGCAGACCTGGCAAATACGTTATTGGTTGCATTTCTAAGCTAAATGGGGTGCTAAAAAGTGCATTTTAAGATCTGATTCCTCCATGGCTTTGAGGCATCAGATTCTGTATTAAAAATCCCATTACGTCCATTCTTTGGATATGCTAAGGGGATATATTAGTCGAAAAATCAATCAATTAACACGCATAATGCTTTCTGTAAAAATGAAGAAAATGTCCGGAGTTGGTAAAATAAGAACTTGGATTTTACTTTCAGGTACTTAGAACTATGGTTACAGTGGATAGAAATAGCAATTAAATTAATAAAACTAAGAAACTATCGTTTTATAGGAGTTCGCTGCTGCCCACCATAATGTTATTTTGATGAGGAACTCATCTTAATTTATGTACGAGTTAATCCGAACTGCAAAATTGCTGTATCGGATAATATTGTAAGGAGAGTTTATAGTGCATACATTCAGTAAAATCTATTTGGTCAATAAATATATAAAAACGTATGCATGTCAACAATACGCAGTCTAGTCACATTAATGTGACCACTAACTTCTTTCGACGTTAACGTGAAATAACCAATCACAGAAGGCAGGTGGCAGCACATTATAGTGGAGTGTATATAAAGGATGTCCTAGAGGGCATCGGAAAGCATTTCAATCGTTGGCATAATACAGAAACATAGCGATTTATCCGACGTCCAAAAGAGCATGATTACTGGCTCTCGGGCCGAGGGTGGAAGCTAATTTTGTGAACTGTTCACGTTCCGCCGTAGTAAAAGTATACCGTGTATGGCAAAGTGGTACTATCCAAAATCAGCTGCGTTGCACATGTGGTGAATCACGGGCTATAGTTGACAGAGGCGAATGAAGACTACGGAGATGCGTTCGGGCGAATAGACGTGCTACTGTTGAGCAACTGACCGCCCAGATGAACCAATGGGCTACCAAGAGTGTATCCTCAACAACACTTCAGCGAACGTTGCTGCTCATGGGCCTCCACAGCAGATGCCTGGTTAGTGCTTTTGACAGGTGGTCACACTAATGTGACTGGACTGTATATTTGTTATATTGTTTAAAACTTTTGGAGCATATTGCACCATTTTATCACTCAAATTCCTGCAACCTGATTATGGCGATAAATTGAACGACATTATCGCATTTCCCAAACTTGGGTGAGATTGGTATAATTGTAACATTATAAAAATTAACATCTTGTCAAGGTTGAAGCAAATTTGTATTAAGTCATCATTCAAAGCATCACAATATTTTTGTTCTACACTGAAACAATTTTTCTCAGAGTGTAATAGCATTTAAATTTTTGTTACAGTCCCTGCAGACACTTAACTCGGAACCACTTTCACTGAATTACTCTGTGGACGGCACTAATTCAGTGTCAAGTGCCCCGTCAACTGAGAGATGGTCTCGAAAGAATACATCTTCGGTCAAAAACGACGAGCATCAGTCACCTCCTCAACATTCTAAGTCAAATACAAGAGCTCTGCCGCCATTACCATTCCTTCGAACCGGTCATACTGGAGGTTTCAGTCTTAGAGATCACTCCAGAGGAATAGATTGTGAAAGTCCAACTAGTGAGTGAACCCTATTGGTGCAAATTTTTAGAAAATACATTTTATTTCAGGTTAACACCAAATCGAGCTTTCATACATAATTTAAGTCGAATTCTTGACCATAGATGGCGCCACTGGAAAACAAGATCAATTGCAACCCTAACCTTGCGGCCTACGACAATCAACAACATATAGAATTTAAAGAGTGTAGTTAAAATCTAAACGGGATTAATTGGAGGATTTAATCTTAGATCAGTCCAGTGCGATAGATTTTGAAAGTCATACTAAGTGAGTGATCCCTTTTATTGCGAATTTTAATAAACTAGTTTTTTGGATTAAATACAACTCATTAACAATGTTGTAAAAAACGTGTTAGTTTGGTGCAAGCTTTATCAATTAATGGTGTTATGATTTTACTACACCTTATAAAATGAGTATTAACGCTCAATTTGGTATTAACTTGAAATAAAGTGATCTTTCGCACAATTTTTAGAACACAATTTTCGCACAATTATTCTTTTTTCCAAATTCGCATGGGTATTACACCGCAGTTTTTATAGTGTTTATTATAATTTGATTTGGTGTTCATTTGAAAAAGTGTTTCTTCATGCAATTTTTTTCCTGGTGGATCAACAACAAATTTAGAGAGACAATATATCACAGTTTTTACAGTGTAGTAACCACAAACATTGCATAGAATGCTTCGTTTTTCTCCCTAATACACAGTAAATATGGCGAGGTAAATTCGTAATTAAAGTTTATGTTCGGATATGACAATACCAAGGCGATATTAAGGGGGAAAAAATTTCTTCTTTATTTTTAAAGAAGCACTTCTACCTTGTATCGTCTTTAAAACTAAATAATTGTTTTACCTTTACTTTTGATACGATAATTAGTTAACTTTATGGATAATTCAAATAACTATTAGTTAACTTTGTAGATAATTCAAATAATTATTAGTTAACTTTGTAGATAATGCAAATAACTATTAGTTTACTTTGTTAGGAAATAAATTAGATTGCTTTTCCGATTATGAATGCTGATTTTAATATAATTGAAACATGGTGGGATATTTAAAAGAATTTACTTTTCATTTGTTAGAAAGGTACAAAAGCTTTACATGATGTTTACAACCAACATATAGCTTTTCAAAACGGCGAATTTGTCAATTGCATTTTCTAACGTAAAGATTTATGATAGTATCTGCAGATATTTAGTGTTATCTTTAAGATTTAGCATGAATGGGATAATAATAATAATATTTACTGTTGTCGGTTTCAAAAAGCTCTTCTGCCTTTTGAAAGGTGGATCTGATTCTTGAAATAGACACATTATCTTTTAATACCGTTTTTGAAACTTCACTAGAGGAGAATTCTGAAAGTTTGAAATACAATAAAAAGTGTTACATGGTTTTTAATTGTTAAGAGTAGCAGAAAAAAAATAATATGCCGTTGTAAAAAGGACAGGGTGCGTAGCGCTTTTAAAAAGTGCTTAAGGATGCTTATTTTTGATTTACGTTTTTTATAAGCCTTTAAAAATGCTTTTTTTCTATTCGGAGTTTGTAAAAAGTGCTTAATTTTCTATCTTTCAAAATTAGATTTTTTCTTTGCTGTGTCGATTGTCGTTCTAAATTACAAAAAATGCATGATTTTTCACAATTTTTTCTTTAATATTTATCAGAAACTAGTTATTTTATAATGATTATGTAAAAATTTTGAAAATGTTTTTGATTTTATGTTTATAAGTTAAGAACTTTTAACAATAGACAAAAATAATTTTTATTACTGCCAGATCCTAATTATGAATTTTTTTTGGTGGAAAGGGATTAAAAATATTTTTGAGTGCTTAAAAAGTACTTAAAAGGTGTTTATTTTTTGTTAAAAAATCTAGCAACGCACCCTGAGTTAAACTATATTTTCAGCATTTTCTAAGCCTTACGGTCCAAATCATTATTATAGGTTTAAATTATCTTCTTAACGGTATGTTTAAATCATGTATTTTTTTATTTAACTATTATTATACTGTAGATATTGTTCTCTAATATTGATTAATATGTTTTTAGGTGTTGAAGTTTTAAGATATGAAACTCGTACTTCAACCATTCAAGACAAAGATTATAATAGCCTGAGTAGTATAAGTAGTATTAATACAGATTCATTGTCCTTGGTAAGTTTTTATTTAGTCAAAATTATTTATAGTATTTGAATGTTTGTTTTGAAACTGTTATTTGCTATACTGCTATGAATGTATAATATATATTTCATGAAACTGCTATATTATATATAACAACCCTAGCAGATAGAACTGAGAGATAAATCGATGCATCAAAAAATATGCAATCATCGCCGATCCGATGTTTGCATTGGCAATTTTTCGAAGCATCGGAAATCGTGATTTACTGACATGTGTACGATATTTCCCGATGTATCGTTGACATAGATGTCTACATGCGCAATGATGATTGTTCCCGATAATTCACGGATGTCTACAAGCTCGCGCGAAGAGCATTTTCCTCCGTAAGTGTGCAGTAATAGCTGTGGCGATGATCGTTATATCGTACACATCGTACATCGTGACACATCGTTTTGCTGACATGATGAATCCGAATGTGTTTGAGAATCGAAGTGTTGTTGAATCTCTTAGTTACGGAAGGGTTTTCTTTTAACTGTGCGTGCGCAAATCTTGTTGATTTTTTTTACAATCAATCCACCCGTTTAGTGTTTTTTAACAGCTATTTTGCAGATATTGCAGATTACCTTAAATATTGAGAAATAATTATGAAGAATGCAACGTTTTTTTTATAAAAAATGCAACTTATGGATTGCGAATTTACGCGGTATTGAATGTAAAACATTAATGTATCGATACATCAAAATATCGCTATGTTAGTGGGACGATACATCGCGATGTCAAAATCTTAATATCGTTCAGTCCTACTAGTAGCAAAATAACTTAGGCCCTTATTGGACCAATATTTAGGAATCTTGGCTCAATAAGGGTTCAAATGGCCGATATGGGCACTTTATAGAATTGCCCGATTCCCCCGTTATTTTACTGCCACTTTAAAACCAAAATCAGCCCTATATGAAATTGTCAGATTCATCCGATATTTTATAATCATTATTCAGCCAATATAAGCCCTATATAGGCCGATATTGACACTGCATAGAACCAATATTAAAACATATAGACATCCCAATAATGGTCAATCGGAGCAGGTTCATATAGGACGCATATTGAGCCAATTTTAGCCCAACTGGGGCCAAGGTATAATTGTAGCTAGGGAATATTAAAATAGACAAATTTCTAAAATCCGACAAATGGCGCGAAACTGTCGAACTTTTCGCTTAAAATTTAAAAACAAATATCGCCATTTATTTAAAAAATGACAAATGACCTATTATGCTTTGGACGAACTGAGTTGGGGTGTCATGGAAATGAAGCACCAATTTTTGTCTTACCCGAACTCAGGTCGGGCATTCCAAAATTGGCACGTTTGCGTTGTCCGAACTGAGTTCGGGCAGCATGGGCTAGTGGTTATTTTTCCAATGAAATCCTTATATAATATTTTCCTACGGTTTTTGATTTTCAACAAGAAGATTTCTAACTTTAGTTTCAGAATGAGTATTTCATTTGCAAAAATCTTTTTGTAAAAAATTAATTCACGAACTTTCTTATTCGAATTAAATAGTTTTCAGTTTAAATTACTGTAAAACAAGACTAGAGTTTTAAGTTCTACCGAACTTACAAAATGTATTAATAAACTTTCAAAACACGTTCTTTTGTGGAATTTATAAATTTTAGAGTGAAAAATATGAGTTGTTGAAATAATAAACAATAGATACTTCATTAAAATGCAAGTAAACATCATCTCAAAATGATTCATACATTTTATTCAGTGATGCGACATTTGAAATATAAAATTTCCTGTAAATCACAGTTTCTTTCAATTTCTTCTATTAAACAATGCAAGGACAAAAGTACAGTCAAAGCAAAGGAAACGGACATTGATTTAAGTTATGTGGAAACATTCATGATTCTGTTTAAATTCAATTTTTTTTATGAAATCTTAAATTCGTCAAGTGTTATTTTGAAATCTAGTTGCGCATTTCGCCAGTGCTATCATAACAATATTTTTCTGTTACTTGCATAAGATTTCATAAATCAAAAATAATATAAACTAAAGTAGTATAAAAAATAATATAAACAAAAATAATACTGAAAATATATAAGCAAAACTAGCAACCANGGCTCTATATAGAATTGTCAGATTCATCCGATATTTTATAATCATTATTCAGCCAATATAAGCCCTATATAGGCCGATATTGACACTGCATAGGACCAATATTAAAAAATCTAGACATCGCAATAATGGTCAATCGGAGCATAGTGAAGCACCAATTTTTGTCTTGCCCGAACTCAAGTCGGGCATTCCAAAATTGGCACACTTGCGTTGTACGAACTGAGTTCGGGCGGCATGGGCAAGTGGTTATTTTTCCAATGAAATCCTTATACAATATTTTCCTACGGTTTTTGATTTTCAACAAGTAGATTTCTAACTTTAGTTTCGGAATGAATATTTCTTTTGCAAAAATCTTTTTGTAAAAAATTAATTCACGAACTATCTTATTCGAATTAAATAGTTTTCAGTTTAAATTATTGTGAAACAAGACTAGACTTTTTAAGTTTCTCCGAACTTACAAAATATATTAATAAACTTGCAAAACACGTTCTTTCGTAGGATTTATAAATTTTAGAGTGAAAAATATGAGTTGTTAAAATAATAAACAATAGATACTTCATTAAAATGCAACTAAACATCATTTCAAAATGATTCATACATTTTATTCAGTGATGCGTTATTTGAAGTATAAGATTTCCTTTAAATCACAGTTTCTTTCAATTTCTTCTATTAAACAATGCAAGGACAAAAGTATAGTCAAAGTAAAGGAAACTGACATTGATTTAAGTTATGTGGAAACATTCATGATTCTGTTTAAATTCAATTTTTTATGAAATCTTAAATTCGTCAGGTGTTATTTTGAAATCTAGTTGCGCATTTCGCCAATGCTATCATAACAATATTTTTCTGTTACTTGCATAAGATTTCATAAATCAAAAATAATATAAACTAAAGTAGTATAAAAAATAATATAAACAAAAATAATACTGAAAATATATAAGCAAAACTAGCAACCAAAAATTATTTGCATGCTTATTTCCTGTTTTAATAAGCGCTTTTAAATGTTTAATTGTATTATCCACGATTAGATTATCTTATAAAAAATGAATGTCTGATTGTCCTATACAGACCCCTTAACTATCGGACCTAGAACAGTGAAATTCGGCTTACTGATAATTCGGAGCACGAGAAAGATCACGGTTGACTTAAGAATATTAAATTACGTTCCAGCGGGATGAGCAAAACACGAAACGGACTTTTCTGATTAGTTAAACGTTAGCTATTGCTTTAAATTAAACTTTAGACAATTCTATTTTATCGAACATTTTAAAAGATAATATCAGTGATATTTGATAGCTTAGAGCTTTATTTCATAAAAAGAAAGTCTATTGCAAGTGCTTCTATATTTAATCATTTTTTATTTGCTATGATATTATTCAGGGGTCCCCATCAGGGGGGAAGGTGGGCGCACGATGCGCCCACTTAAAGCTTGGGGGGCGGGGAGAATTTTTACACTAAATAAAACGAATAGTTTAGGGGGGAATTTAGACGAGAGAATTTTTTTTAAGTACATAAATAAAAGAAGCATTGTCATATTATGAGTAGAATGCAAGCAAAATAGCACTATTTCGAACAAGCTAACATGGAAGGGGGAAGTTAGCAAATTTTTTTGGGGGGAGAGGATGAATGCGCCCAAGAGCTTGGGGGGGATGGGGGCCACTGATATTATTATAAATTCAATGAACAACGTTAACATTTTCGTGAAGGGACTGAATGTCCCTAAATTAGTATGTTTGAAGTTATCGTAAACCACGTGTTTATTTTGTTTATAGTAATTCTTTTAAAACGTGTTTCTATAAAAGTAAATAATTTGAATTCAACGGTTACTTTATTTTATTTTATAATCGTTGTTGAACAGCCGACCTAATTTTCTGACTAATGACTACTAAAGGCCCTTTACTTTTGCACATCTTGGATTTTATGTTCAATTTTTAATTTGTTTTTTCTTGATCGTTTTTTGTACTTGGTAAACTTTTAATTATATTTTTTTTACTAGACAACACAACCTTTCATAAAAGGTAGAAAATAAAATCTAAAAAGAGAATTGTATTGGCCTAATTTTGTCAGAAAAGAAATTAATAATAAAATTAATAATAAAAGTTAAAGTGTATTTTCTTCACTGCGTATTTGGGCTTCAATCATAGCTCCCCGGCCAACTCTGTTTGTGGCCAGCTATTTCGTCTCTCTCCGTGCCTTTCTTATTGTTTTCAATTAACTTACAGTCGTCCTTCGCCAAGTGTTTTTAAGTTTCACGCTTTTTCTATTGCTCTGATTGTTCCTATCAAAAAATCGTTTTAATTCAAATTTTTTAGGTTTGCGTAGAATATGACCAAATCATTTTCATCTACGTTTTTTAATTCCCAGTTCAATTGATTTCTGTTTTGTTTTTCTAAGAATTCTGCTTTACATATTTTATGGACTTTTGTTATTTTTAGTAATTTAAAACGATCAATTAACTTACAGTCGTCCTTCGCCAAGTGATTTTAGGTTTTACGCTTTTTCTATTGCTCTGAGTGTTCCAATCAAAAAATCGTTTTAATTCAAATTTTTTTGGTTTGCGTAGAATATGACCAATTCATTTTCATTTACGTTTTTCAACCCCCAGTTCAATTGGTTTCTGTTTTGCTTTTCTAAGAATTCTGCTTTACATATTTTATGGACTTTTGTTATTTTTAGTAACTTAAAACGATCAATTAACTTACAGTCGTCCTTCACCAAGTGTTTTTAGGTTTCACGCTTTTTCTATTGCTCTGAGTGTTCCAATCAAAAAATCGTTTTAATTCAAATTTTTTAGGTTTACTTAGAATATGACCAATTCATTTCCATCTACGTTTTTTAATTCCCAGTTCAATTGATTTCTGTTTTGCTTTTCTAAGAATTCTGCTTTATATATTTTATGGACTTAGGGTATTTTTAGTAACTTAAAACGACACGTTTCTCAGTTTTTAGATTATTTAACCGATTTGGATGACGCAAAAAAATTCTTTTGCATAGAAACAAAAATACTTATTAGAAATCTTAAAGCATCAGGCGACTGTATAACTATTTAACTACCTATCGAAAATTGTTTATTGCGGAATTGTAGTGTCATAATTTTGTCACAAAAAATTTACAGAAAATTTTAATAATCGCACGATTTATATCTCAAATTGTGACTTGGGGTGGCCTTGAATTTTACAAGTTTTGCTCTATAGATAATGGAATAATAGAATAATAGTATAATAGATAATAGAATAATAGAATAATAGATAATAGAATAATAGATAATAGAATAATAGATAATAGAATAATAGATAATAGAATAATAGATAATAGAATAATAGATAATAGAATAATAGATAATAGAATAATAGATAANGTGTTTTTAGGTTTTACGCTTTTTCTATTGCTCTGAGTGTTCCAATCAAAAAATCGTTTTAATTCAAATTTTTTTGGTTTGCGTAGAATATGACCAATTCATTTTCATTTACGTTTTTCAACCCCCAGTTCAATTGGTTTCTGTTTTGCTTTTCTAAGAATTCTGCTTTACATATTTTATTGACTTTTGTTATTTTTAGTAACTTAAAACGATCAATTAACTTACAGTCGTCCTTCGCCAAGTGTTTTTAGGTTTTACGCTTTTTCTATTGCTCTGAGTGTTCCAATCCAAGAATCGTTTTAATTCAAATTTTTTAGGTTTACTTAGAATATGACCAATTCATTTTCATCTACGTTTTTTAATTCCCAGTTCAATTGATTTCTGTTTTGATTTTCTAAGAATTCTGCTTTATATATTTTATGGACTTTCGTTATTTTTAGTAATTTAAAACGACACGTTTCTCAGTTTTTAGATTATTTAACCGATTTGGATGACGCAAAATAATTCTTTTGCATAAAGGCAAAAATACTTATTAGAAATCTTAAAGCATCAGGCGACTGTATAACTATTTAACTACCGATCGAAAATTGTTTATTGCGGAATTGTAGTGTCGTAATTTTGTCACAAAAAATTAACAGAAAATTTTAATAATCGCATGATTTATATCTCAAATTTGGTTTGGGGGTGGTCTTGCATTTTACAAGTTTTGCTCAATAGATAATAGAACAATAGATAATAGAATAATGGATAATAAAATAATAGATATAATAGATAATAGAATAATTGATAATAGAATAATAGATAATAGAATGATAGATAATAGAATAATAGATAATAGAATAATAGATAATAGAATAATAGATAGTAGAATAATAGATAATAGAATGATAGATAATAGAATGATAGATAATAGAATAATAGATAGTAGAATAATAGATAATGAAATAATAGATAATGGAATAATAGATAATGCAATAATAGATAATGCAATAATAGATAATAGAATAATAGATAATGGAATAATTGCTCAATAGAAGATAATATTCAATAGAATAAATATCCATCATCAGTTTATTTGTGAAAATTAAATAAAAATGATTAAAAGCGCATTTAAAATTTTGTTCGAATAATTGGGTAATTGTACTTCAAGAAGACAACCAATACCCACGCATGTGACCTATGACTTCATCACCAGCTAATCTTTATCAGCAATATGGAGTATTAAAGTTGAGCTAAGTTTCTCTACATAATTTAACATATTAATTAACGTTAAGTTAATTAAATGCAAAGCCGTATTGCACATCGAATTTATCGAAATATAATTCTTTCTGGTCTACTTTTTTACTATACTTAGATTTCTTATTTGTTTATGTATTTTATTGTAACTGCTATGCATTTTTGTTATGTGTGACTGGCAACTTCGATGCATAATAAATTTGTTTATGTTTCACATGGCTTCGTGCCTGTATTTGTGTTAAGTCTCTGTGCAAATATATAGTGGTAGAATTGAAATCTTTGGGAAAGAATTTAGAATGTGTCACTTAAGAGAATTGATACTTGGCGGGCTCGGCTTACTCGAAATAGAATGGAAAGAACAGTTGCTAACATAAACAAATGCCTCGTTTCAACAACCAATCAGGATCGAGATACCCACACTACGCTACTTGCAGGTCTCCCATTGAGTGGAGAAGAAAAATCGTCTGGGGGTGGGAAAGAAAAATCGTGGGTGGGAAAGAAAAATCGTCTTATTGTTTAAAAAAAAAAAAAAAAAAAAAAAAAAAAAAAAAAATCGAAATTTGTAAGAATTGGCTGGTATTTAAACGAATCATTAAAATTTATGTCAAATTATGAAATCATTCAATGATCATTTTATTCCCATTGCAGTTCCTTAAGATTATAGATTTTCATTCTTTATAAAAGAAAGCGAAAACTTTTTGAATTGTAAGCTATGCAAAACGTTACATCATTTCAAGCTATGTAATTTTAAGTCAAACAATCCGAAATTGGGAGAAAATTAGTTGAACAGTTTCGGAGTTGCATAATTTCAAATAGTTATATTTTAAAATATTTTCTTTTCAAGAACTACCCGTAGGATGCCATTCAAATTTTGGATTTTGGTATAAATTTAAACAATGTAAAAATTTGTGCACCGTGCTATGCAAAATTAATTTCACTCATCATTAGAGATCTGGTCAATATACATCTCGCTCATTATTTAAAAATAACAAAAAATAAATAATAATTTTCAGGAAATAAAATATTAAATTTTCTTGGAATAAATAAGTTTTTTTTAATTGTTGTGTGTTGAAGTATTTCGATTCACTTAAATAATAGTAATGTGTACAGAAAAAGAAAAATTAACATTAACACTGGGATTTACAGTGTTTTTCTCGCTCCTGATCAAACTATTTTAAAAATATTTTCTACTTCCTTTTGATATACACTTTGACTTTCAATAATTCGAATCTCATAAAAAAAGGCATATTTATTCCGAGAAAGTAAGCTTTCGTAACTAGAAATATTGTGTGCACTAATTCAATCAGCTTATTATTATCGTTTTAACCCAGTAAGATTGATAATCTGAGCTTTAGATCAAAAGTTATTGAATTTACTGTTTTTTTTTTCCTGCTTACTCTACAATAATTCGCTCTCAGTGGTTTATCTTGTGGGTCACAATCCCGATATTATGTTTTTTATTCAATTAAAACGCATGAATCATATTTTTTGACTAAATAACGATTAAATTAACTATAATTATTCAAAACTTTAATTAGATTTACTACATTATATTGTGATCTCGTTACGCAAAACGTAGTATAGAAACTATTGTTTTTACAATTCTCGTACTGTTTGAGTAAATATGGATGTTTTTAAATTCTTCTAATGATTCAATATTTGAATTTTATGTTACGTAAACCATAATAAACTAAATTCAGCTTCTTTAGAAAGGAAAAGAAAACTGATACCTTTTATAAAGTTGAACGTGTGCCACCAAAAATTAACTACTATAGCTCTTTTCTTTTATCTTAACGTTGCTAAAATATCTATAGCTGTTCCGATAAAAATCTCACTGAATATTTTAATTAGATATTTTACCTCCAATTTTTGCCATGATACAAATTTTTTAAGTCTTTAATTATTCTGCTATAAATTACTGTGTATACACTATTACAAAAACATAGCAGAAAACATGGTAAAAATAGAGCATTTTTTTTTAAAATTTATAATTATTATCTACCAATTATTCAATGTATATTATCATACTTTTGAGGTTGCATATTTATTTTTGTTAAAAAGTATTTAGGGAATTTAAAAAAAAGATATTTCAATTTCTAAAATTCATAAAGTGCTCGTTTTTTTTTTTTTAACCTTAGATTCTCACAAATCGTAATATGTATATTAATTTTATTTGTAGTGGTTTTTTTTCTTGCTATGTATTAGTTTAATTTGTTTATTTTTTTCATGTTATGTATTAGTTTCATTTCTAGTGATTTTTCCATGTTTTGTTTTATATTCATTCGCAGTGGTTTTTTTAAAGTTATGTGTTAATTTCATTTATAGTGATATTTTAAAGTCATGTATTAGTTTGATTTGTAGTGATTTTTTTCATGTTACAAAATTCGGTATTTTTTGCACGGATGAACTCGTAGTTTGATTTATCTTCCACTTAAAAGTTTTTTTTCCCTAATATAATACGAATATATTTCCCATAAAACGATGCCTTGTTATTCATTGTATTTATTTAATCAAAAATCGCAAGTAATTATTCCAAAGAATTGCTCAAATATTATGTTTTTCCATTACAGGAAGCAGGCTTCCAAGAAATTTCTACTAGAATGAACTCTGCCAACGATCAAACGGTAGGAAATATATCTATATATTTTTTCTTTATGTCATAGCTAAACGTGCTGTTTTGTGTGGAGAAATTACCATGGCAACCGCCTATGTTGACCGTATTTTTTTTATGAAATAAAATGAATTGTTTTCTGAGGGTGCAAATGATTTGACTACCTTTTACCGTATATTGAACTTTTATGCAAATCGAGCATACAGTTTAGTCTGATTTGGTAAAATTTATAGTTACATACATCACTCGGAGCTTTTATTTATAACTTTAAATCTGGTTTTTCTATGCATCGTAAAAATATAATTGTCATCTTATTTTTCGTGCATTTTCATTGGAAAGAAAAATTACTTGGTATTATTATTAATAAATATGTATTTTAGGTTTTTATTAAAATAATAAAAGGTTTCTCTATAAATTGTTTATCTCTTATTTAACGCTTTTTACCAGTAAAATGCATTAATTTTGTTTTAAGTTCTTAATATTATTCTCTGTTATAAGAATTGGATAGTTTCTCAAAATTATAGGTTCAAAATTAAAAGTATTGCTACTTTATTACATTATAAAGTAATCATACGATGTTACCTTATTATAAAATATGCGATAAAAATATAGCTGCCTTTTTATAATTTTTAAAAGATAAATAAGTTATTTTTATTAGTTAATTTAATCCCTGAAATTCAATGAACTTTAAAATACCAAAACTTTCAGTTCTCAAATCAAATTTTTTCTCTCTCCATTTTTAAACGATGTTTTGCTTTTCTTTGCAATAGAAAATATATTTACGAAAATGAGCAGTAGTAGTTATATTTTTTAAACACATAAATGGAATAAAAGAAAAAATAAATTTCTACGAAATATTTACATTTTATTTTCCATTCCATGAATTTAACAAGTAACATTGTTTTTATTCTCTGTAAACTAAAATGATTAAAACATGCACCAAGTTTTGAACTTAAAATACATCTACTTTTATGCATTCATCATCTCAAGAAATGAAAATGTTCAACCTTTTATCGCGCGTTCACAACAATACATTTTCAATCATATAGATGTCGCTAAAAACGTCACATGAAATTATGATTTACGCAAACGATATTCCACCATGAATGTCATGTGTTATGATAGTTTGGCAAATCTTCAAAAAAAACTCTTGGATGGTAAAATTTAACTAAAGATGACTCGAGCAGACGATTCTTTAGAAATTCGAATGCTTCTCATAAATCAAAGATGGAATGTTACGTTCTTCAACTTTTATGACAGCATTCTAAAGCGGCAGGTCTTTAATTTCCTGTAATAAAATGTTATGTTCTTTTCACTCTTATCTACAATCAATAGTAACTACTCGGCATCATTTCTTCCTTCTTTGGCGGCATCCCGTCAGACTTTGGCATCATCATCATAGGAGCTGGCATGTAAGAACTGAAACGAAAACATGTCAACATAAATTTCAATAATTCAGATTTATAGACAAAACTTTCATCAAGTGATAAATAAACTCGCCAAGGCTGCAGAAAATTAGAAAAGGCACTTAATAAACAATTTAATAGGAATATGAGAAACCAGATATATGATGCAAGTTATTAAGTGCCATTAAATTCTTATATTAATTTAAAACGAAACTAAAAAATATACTTCGATGACTTGTTGTTTATTCTACTGGTATTGCTATATAAGCTGTTTTTAAAGTCACAGTTGTTATGTAAAATGTTTTTTTTTATGTATATATTTTTTTATTTTTTCAAAGAAGCATGAACTTAGAATTTGTTTTTCGAAGCTTTGTCATCATGTTATATAACCCTTTTTATAAAACTGTATGGATTTTAAAACTGTGAAGTTCGTCGTCATTGAAAACAATGATTTTTTTAAAGCATGGATTTTAAAGTTATTTTAGGAGGCTCTGCCTTCATATGAAATAATGCTTTTTATAAAATTGCATGGATTTTAAAGTTTTTGTCGTCACATAAAATATATAGATGAATATTTAAAATAATGGATTTTAAAGTTATTTTAGGAGGCTCTGCCTTCATATGAAATAAGGCTTTTTTATAAAATTGCATGGATTTTAAAGTTTTTGTCGTCACATAAAATATATAGATGTATATTTAAAAGAATGGATTTTAAAGTTATTTTAGGAGGCTCTGCCTTCATATGAAATAATGCTTTTCATAAAATGGCATGGATTTTAAAGTTTTTGTTGTCACATAAAATATATAGATGAATATTTAAAATAATGGATTTTAAAGTTATTTTAGGAGGCTCTGCCTTCATATGAAATAAGGCTTTTTTATAAAATTGCATGGATTTTAAAGTTTTTGTCGTCACATAAAATATATAGATGAATATTTAAAAGAATGGATTTTTAAGTTATTTTAGGAGGCTCTGCCTTCATATGAAATAATGCTTTTCATAAAATGGCATGGATTTGAAGGCTGTTTTTGAAAGTTCTGTCTTTATATAAAATAACACCCTCAGAAAAAATATGTTATTCCTATAATTGTTGTGAATTTGTGTAATATAGTTATTCTTAATTGCTTGTTGTGCTTGTTGTGTTCTTAACACATGCCACACTGGTCAAAAATGTCCTAAATCACATAATAAAACATGCTACCTCGAAGAAAAACATTTTGTTGTTGCAACAGAAATTTCTTAATAGTAAGAACGAAACTAAAATGTCAAAGTTTGATAAAATGTCAAAATCTATACTTATGTCTACTTTATTAAAATAACCATTTAAATTTTTAAATATTTAATAAATGTATTTTTCCTTTTTTTTGGTCATAATTTTTCAGTACTTTTTATTGTAATGCTCCCTTAGGTTTAGATTATATTTCAATTTCATTCTTCATAAGCACAACAGCCCTTTGTAGGCCTTGGCTGTTTCAAAAACGCGCTTTCTATTGCTTTCCGTTTGTAGCGAAATTCTTCCCATTTTTTTATTCTCAAATAATTTAATTTTATTCAAATTTCCAATAAAATGTGGATCACAGATTATTGTTAAAATAAGAAGAAAAAAAAACTGGTTTTGAAATTGTAATTTTACTCACGGGTACATAGGTGGCGGCATTTTTGGCATCTCCATCATCATTGGCATGTCCATTTTTGGCATGGTGAGCTTATCTAGAATATCTTTGATAAGACTCAGAGGGATTGGAATTGGTATAACGGCTACTGACTTTTTTGGTGAGAGTGCTCTCAAAAGCAAGGCTTTCTTGAGAATCTTTTTAAGCTTGAGACTCGTAACCGCATCTCCTTCTTGCAACTGCGCCGTTAACAAAAACAATAGAAAGAGTGTCCATGTCATGGAAGTTCTACTGCTCTTTAGTCGAAACATACCTAAAATTATAAAAAAAGAAGAAAAAAAATGTTAGATACCAGGGGTCTGTTTAGAAGAAATTTGGGCCCGTTAACGGACCCTTCAGAAAATATCTTTTCATAAAAACGGAACCTTCACAAAATAATTTATCTTTTAATGGGACCCTTCACAAAATATTTTATCATAAAAACGGAACCTTCACAAAATAATTTATCTTTTAGTGGTCCCTTCACAAAATATTTTATCATAAAAACGGAACCTTNGACTTGTTGTACCTCATGTTCAATACTAGATATCCTTTAATGCCTGGATAATTCCTTTAAAGTACTCTAGAAGCAGTGTCATTTTTAATTTGATATAAATGGTACTGTGAATGAACGAAATTAGTGGTTGATGACTTCCACCGGTTAATGTTAACAATCACATAGTCGCTTTGGTAAATGTCCGAAATATCTAGTTAAATGCCCGGTATGCGTTTGTCCTACCAGGGGTCTGTTTAGAAGAAATTTGGGCCCATTAACGGACCCTTCACAAAATATTTTATCATAAAAACGGAACCTTCACAAAATAATTTATCTTTTAATGGGACCCTTCACAAAATATTTTATCATAAAAACGGAACCTTCACAAAATAATTTATCTTTTAGTGGTCCCTTCACAAAATATTTTATCATAAAAACGGAACCTTCACAAAATAATTTATCTTTTAATGGGACCCTTCACAAAATATTTTATCATAAAAACGGAACCTTCACAAAATAATTTATCTTTTAATGGGACCCTTCACAAAATATTTTATCATAAAAACGGAACCTTCACAAAATAATTTATCTTTTAGTGGACCCTTCACAAAATATTTTATCATAAAAACGGAACCTTCACAAAATAATTTATCTTTTAATGGGACCCTTCACAAAATATTTTATCATAAAAACGGAACCTTCACAAAATAATTTATCTTTTAGTGGTCCCTTCACAAAATATCTTTTCATAAAAACGGAACCTTCACAAAATAATTTATCTTTTAATGGTACCTTCACAAAATATCTTATTATAAAAACGGAACCTTCACAAAATAATTTATCTTTTAATGGGACCCTTCACAAAATATTTTATCATAAAAACGGAACCTTCACAAAATAATTTTTCTTTTAATGGATCCCTTCACAAAATATCTTATCATAAAAACGGAACCTTCACGAAATAATTTATCTTTTAATGAAACCCTTCACAAAATATCTTATTATAAAAACGGACCCTTCATAAAATAATTTATCTTTTAATCGGACCCTTCACAAATATGTTTATCTTCATTATTGTTTTGTTAATCAATAAACCCTTCCCAGGAAGGGGGGTGGGGCGGAAAGACAGATGTAAACGAGCTAAATTTTGTCTTCGACCGATGCGTCTTCCTTTATTCGTCCGAAATGAATATTCTGCGTTCAGCAGTATAGGCTGAATATCTAATATTTGTATGTTGCATCGCTAATTTAGTAGCTGCAATTGCTGTTTACTTTTTAAAATTTAATTTTTTTAATTATAATTTTACAGTGAGCTTCATGCTCACTGTAAAAGTGAGCTTCTTAGCAAGCTTAGTGAATCTTAGTGAGCTTCATGCTCACTAAGATTATGCTCACACTTGAGCATAATCTTGTATGTCTTTACAATTTAAAAACTTCTTGAAAAAGTTTTTTTTTGCAATAACGGACCCTATTTGCACAAATTCATCAAAGCGGACCCTGGTTGAAAGAATGTGACTTAACGTTTATTTTATATTCTCGAATTACGAGTAATTTTTTCACAATTTTATAAAAACGGACTTTTCACAAAATGTCTGAACAGACCCCTGGATCCATTCTACTTCCATAAGTATAATTTTTTTTACTATCTATCTATATGTAACATAAAAAGATTTAACTAATATTTTTATGTTATTTCTTTTCTGTAAATTTTTTTTCTTAATTTATTTATTCTGAACAAAACGCTCTTTCTCACACTTTAATATTCACATCCTGTCTTTTAATCTATTTTTGGCTGCAAGTTATGCATTATTTAACATTTTATAGTTTTCCTTCGAACCGTGAGAAAGATAGTTTTCTCTCGACCAATTATAATTAGGATTTTACTAAAACGAAGCATTTTTACAGAGTTAATTTGCAAGATTTACCTTAACTTTTATTGAGGAGTACTTAAATTTTGTGTCACTTGGATGATTGTTCTCTCTGTAATAATTATTAAATAAATATTGCGCCCCATTTTCTTGCTCAAAACCTGTTTCTATCCTGTTTATATGGTGTATGCGCATGAATGTTTATTGTTACAAAACCGATGAAATTTCGATAGAATTGAAAGCTGAAGTATCGAGAGAGTGAGCAGTCATTAGCCTGAAAAAGGAAACCTCTAAAGCTTTCATATTTAAGCGTAATTTACTTCTACTTAGATAAACTATTTCAATTACCGTAGGCGAATTTTTTAACTATGTCTTTCTAGGCTTAAGTCCTTTGAATCATTAAAGTTAATTTATTCCAGATGTATTTTTAAACTCCTACATTTACAGTTGTGTATGTGGTTTTCGTAATTGCATTTTTTTATACTTTTGAATAATTTTGCCCTCAGTTATCGAAAACCTAATCAAATCCATACCAAAATTTTTGTTTTAATGCTTTTTTTTCTTCGTTTCCATAATTTTTTTAAGCCCTAAAATTTAAATTTCGAAATTTAATTTTAAAGAATTATTTGTTTTAAATTTTACATAATTTGAATTAGTGTTTGATGAATTGAGATTAGCAACAAAGAATGAGTTTTAAAATTGCAATTTTCGGTAAAACAGTAAACGTATTCTTTAAAGGTTACTATCATTAAATATATTTTGCTGCGTTTCCGTTAAAGCAACAATTTAACTGTCATTTTTGTCTGATTGATGACATTTTCATAGAATCGAAATATATTTTAAGCATTACTTTAAGCTATATGGTCTTTGAAAAACCAATTTTATTTAGCTTCAGATATAGTACTTTGAGATTAAAAATGTATGATTTATTTAAAATTCTATCATTTATGAATAATCTAACTTTCAGGTGACTTTTATTGCGCGAAATGTGTATTTAAACAAATACCTTATCGGAAAGGAATTTTATAGCTCTTTTTACGAAAATACTAGTGCCATTCCTGTAACACATCCTGCAATTATTTTTTTTTCCTTCTCCAAAAATTAAATAAACTATTTCATTAGTGAACCATTTTTTATTGCATATACTCCTGTTTGCTCCTTTAAAAACAACATGACAAAGCACGTATGACATTAATGTATCGCATCATAAACTGACATGTGTTATCAAATTCTTCCTACTACTCCCTACGTTGCAAAGAAGTGAGACGCTTAGAATTTACACGAGTGAATTTTGAGTGAATTTCCTGGTTATGAATATACTATTAAATTACATAAATTAGTGTAGCTTTCTGAGAGAAACCGATTAAAGATTTAAAATTAGATTCGTTCAAAAATTTCATGTAACAGAAATAAAATTTTTTTTTTCAGTGTTACTCGTTACTTAATATTTCGAATCATGCTAAATCATTTTTCTTTTTATATCTAATCCTTAGTAATAGAGTATTTTTGTAATCATGTTAAATCACAAAAATTCACAAAAAAGCATTTTGTTAATTTTCACGGAGAAAAAAAATTTCTGGTAAAACTACCGTACTCTAAAGACATTTCTGGTGAAAGAGAACCATAATTCTGTTAGTAACTCTGAAATGTACGGTAATTTAACTATTCATTTGGTAATTTTTCCGTTCATTTAGTAAAGGTTTACTTGAAATTCTGGTTTCCAATTCCTAGTTGAATTCTGCTAGTTGAAATTCTGGTTCATACATATAATAAAAATACGAAACTGAAAAGTAAATTTAACTGAATAAGTGGTTTTTATGCCATGCTCTAAGATATCGTAATAAAATTATCAAATGTTACCACATTTACCAAATTTTAAAATATATTTAAAAAAAATATTCTATTGTTTAAATTTTTTTTTGTTTTATTATTACTACGGAAAATTTTGCCGCTTTCTGGTAGATTTGACCATATTTTATTTGATCAAGTAAAAACAGTTAAAACTGTAGAATGCTAATTTTTTTATTCCCTCGCAATCCCTGTACATTTTCTACACAACATTTTAATTTCAAGCTTTTAAGTTTTATAGTTTGTGTTGTAAATCAAAATTTAATACAAAGTTGAATATCCTAAGTATAAGAAGTGTTGCTTGCTGTATTTTAATAAAGAAAAATAAGCTATTGAACTCAACACTATGAATAAGGTCCCTGTTTTATTATTTAAAATGCAGATTTTTTCATTCTAATTGGTTATGAATTATTACTTCGATTGTAATCTATTTTAAATTTTAATTAATTTTTAAACTTTGGAAAAACTGATTATAAAATTTTAAAGCAATGATAGCGCAAATAGAAATAGTTGTGCTCAATTACTGTTTCTGAGTTTTACAAGTTATAAATATAAAATTATTTTCATCATCGGATTATTTTTATCACCCAGTTTGTTATACAAGAGTATTATGATAGAATAATTTATATTTACTTTTAAACAGCTATGTAAGTTAAAGTAAATAAAATATTTAACGTTTAATTGTAATAAATCTTTAATAAATAAAAATGTTAAATAAACATGTGTATGGATTTTGATTTGGCTTTATTTTTATTTCATCAATAAAATTATAAGTTTTGAAGAAAGATTGTTTTTACAATAATTGAAATACATTTTGACAACCGATTAGAAGACTGATTTTAAAATTGAATAAAGAAAAGAAAGAAAATTAGATAATTTGAGCTATTTAGATCAAATCTATGCATACTTCATTTTTTTAAAATTTTTTTTTAATTAGTTATCTATCTAAGATCTTTCACTGATTGATATGTATTATGAAAAACTTTACGAAATAATCAGAAAATGAATTGATTCAAATTATTATTAAGAAAACACAATTGAAAAATGCTTTTATATTGTTCAATAGAACTATTTTTTAGTATTCTTATTTACATTCCAATTTTCAAATACTTTGGAAATGAGTTGATGAAAATACTATTAAGAAAACTTTATTTATTTTCTTAAACCATGTTATTAAGAAGACAAAAAAATTTTATTAAGAAAGCAGAAATTAAATAATGTTATTTTATTAGTCATCAAAACTATTTTCTTATTATTTACATTTAAATTTTCAGACATTTTGAAATATAAATTATAATATATAAATATAAATTAGATATAGATAAAAAAATATAAATTAGAAAACAATATTTTTTTCTCAGTAAATTGAAAAATGTTTTCGTTCTTCAGCCTTTTTAGATACTCATTTAAAAAAAAAACAATTTTTTCTATAATTTTTCCTATTTTTGTATTTTTTTTTCTCTAAACATTCTTCTTTAAACCTTTATGTTTTATACATCAATGATATTTTATTGTTTACTTCATTGCAATGCTGAACAAAACTGTAGTATTTTTTTGATGAAAAAATTTATGTTTTTAAGTTTCTAAGAGTATACAATATTTGATAGCTTTAAAAATATTTACCTGGAACAGGACCTTTATCAATATTTTAATCCAAAGTATCTTCTATTGGTTAAAGCACGATCACTTATGACTCTGAACTTCAAATTCTCGATATATATATATGAACTGATAAAATAATGACACAAATAATATAGCTATTCGCTAGTTCTAATTAAATGATAGCGTATTGAAACAACTCTTTTTTTCCTCAAAACATTGACCTTTGCCGAAAAAATCTGAAAGTGCGGGATAAAATCGCATTAATTGGTATCCTGTGATGTTTTAGGCTACCAAAAATGCGCGGTTTCAGTTAATTTGCATTATTTTGTCGTCGTTTTCGATCACCCCCCACAATTTACCCTCTCCCTGACGACCTAGTTTTTATCACAGGCGGGTGGTGATTTATTACATTTATTTTTAGGTTTTTGAGGAACTTTCATTTTTGTTACTGGAATCCTGCATGTGATGTAATGACTTTTTTGTAACTGAAGCAATAATAAATCTTATAGATTGTAAAACTATATACTTAGTATAAACATTTTCTTTTGGCTATTATTATGAGAAATTTTTTAATTATAAATATAGAAGAATGTTACGTGTCTATTAATTTAAATTTTTCTCAAATTATGCGCCTAGTTTTTAACTATTTCGAGTTTTTTACTTTTGAAATGAGATGTTTTATTTTTAAAAATACAAGTATGTAGGATGGTGTTTAATTAAAAAACATTCTTATTTTTAAAAATAAAAGTATGTATGGTGGTGTTTAATTAGAAGAATATTATTTTTAAAAATACAAGTATGTATGGTGGTGTTCAATTAGGAGAACATTCTTATTTTTAAAAATACAAGTATGTATGGTGGTGTTCAATTAGAAGAACATTCTTATTTTTAAAAATACAAGTATGTGGGGTGGTGTTTAATTAAAAGAGCATTCTTATTTTTAAAAATACAAGTATGTATGGTGGTGTTAAATTAGAAGAACATTCTTATTTTTAAAAATACAAGTATGTGGGGTGGTGTTTAATTAAAAGAACATTCTTATTTTTAAAAATACAAGTATGTATGGTGGTGTTAAATTAGAAGAACATTCTTATTTTTAAAAATACAAGTATGTGGGGTGGTGTTAAATTAAAAGAACATTCTTATTTTTAAAAATACAAGTATGTATGGTGGTGTTAAATTAGAAGAACATTCTTATTTTTAAAAATACAAGTATGTGGGGTGGTGTTAAATTAGAAGAACATTCTTATTTTTAAAAATAAAAGTGTGTGGGCTGGTGTTTAATTAGAAGAACATTCTTAGTTATCGGAATACTACAACTTTTATATTTCATTATGTGTACCAATTCTACTCGTCATTCTTTACATATTCATAGTAGTTCATCAAAATACGTACGAGTACTGATTAATAATACAGATCGACGCAATGTACCTTTTTGTCTGTTAAATGAATTTGGATATTTGTTTAGTATGGAACAATTTGCAACAGACAAGTTTATTTTTTTAATAAAAAATAAACATTTTAAACCAGTATAAAAATATTTATTTTATTTAAGTTACTTGCGAGTATTAATACAAAAGAATACGTCATGGGCGTTATCTGTTGCGCCAACTACCAAGGCGCCAAATGGATTTTAAACTTGTAATTTTTTTTTTTTTTTAAAGAAACATGGAGAAGTTTACCCGGAAGTTGTCAAGACTTGGCGATTATTCTGCCTTAGATAATGATACGGAAATCTTTCCTGTCATTTTTAACGATTTTTTACTTGTTTTGCGAAAGAAACATTCATTTTTAATGTCCAGCACTAACTTGCATGGTAATTTGGATTCCATTTTTCATAAAAAAAATTTTAACGTTGGAATATGAATTGTATTTCATGTTTGAAAATCTTCTTGTTGTTCTTTAATTTTTACCCATTGGCAAAATGGGTTTTGATTTGATGGCGTGGGCACACTTTTAAACTGTGTTCAAGAGTAATAGTAAATAGTGCGCATGCGTCGTCATTGCATGCGTTGCTATGGCGNAAGATATCGTAATAAAATTATCAAATGTTACCACATTTACCAAATTTTAAAATATATTTAAAAAAAATATTCTATTGTTTAAATTTTTTTTTGTTTTATTATTACTACGGAAAATTTTGCCGCTTTCTGGTAGATTTGACCATATTTTATTTGATCAAGTAAAAACAGTTAAAACTGTAGAATGCTAATTTTTTTATTCCCTCGCAATCCCTGTACATTTTCTACACAACATTTTAATTTCAAGCTTTTAAGTTTTATAGTTTGTGTTGTAAATCAAAATTTAATACAAAGTTGAATATCCTAAGTATAAGAAGTGTTGCTTGCTGTATTTTAATAAAGAAAAATAAGCTATTGAACTCAACACTATGAATAAGGTCCCTGTTTTATTATTTAAAATGCAGATTTTTTCATTCTAATTGGTTATGAATTATTACTTCGATTGTAATCTATTTTAAATTTTAATTAATTTTTAAACTTTGGAAAAACTGATTATAAAATTTTAAAGCAATGATAGCGCAAATAGAAATAGTTGTGCTCAATTACTGTTTCTGAGTTTTACAAGTTATAAATATAAAATTATTTTCATCATCGGATTATTTTTATCACCCAGTTTGTTATACAAGAGTATTATGATAGAATAATTTATATTTACTTTTAAACAGCTATGTAAGTTAAAGTAAATAAAATATTTAACGTTTAATTGTAATAAATCTTTAATAAATAAAAATGTTAAATAAACATGTGTATGGATTTTGATTTGGCTTTATTTTTATTTCATCAATAAAATTATAAGTTTTGAAGAAAGATTGTTTTTACAATAATTGAAATACATTTTGACAACCGATTAGAAGACTGATTTTAAAATTGAATAAAGAAAAGAAAGAAAATTAGATAATTTGAGCTATTTAGATCAAATCTATGCATACTTCATTTTTTTAAAATTTTTTTTTAATTAGTTATCTATCTAAGATCTTTCACTGATTGATATGTATTATGAAAAACTTTACGAAATAATCAGAAAATGAATTGATTCAAATTATTATTAAGAAAACACAATTGAAAAATGCTTTTATATTGTTCAATAGAACTATTTTTTAGTATTCGTATTTACATTCCAATTTTCAAATACTTTGGAAATGAGTTGATGAAAATACTATTAAGAAAACTTTATTTATTTTCTTAAACCATGTTATTAAGAAGACAAAAAAATTTTATTAAGAAAGCAGAAATTAAATAATGTTATTTTATTAGTCATCAAAACTATTTTCTTATTATTTACATTTAAATTTTCAGACATTTTGAAATATAAATTATAATATATAAATATAAATTAGATATAGATAAAAAAATATAAATTAGAAAACAATATTTTTTTCTCAGTAAATTGAAAAATGTTTTCGTTCTTCAGCCTTTTTAGATACTCATTTAAAAAAAAAACAATTTTTTCTATAATTTTTCCTATTTTTGTATTTTTTTTTCTCTAAACATTCTTCTTTAAACCTTTATGTTTTATACATCAATGATATTTTATTGTTTACTTCATTGCAATGCTGAACAAAACTGTAGTATTTTTTTGATGAAAAAATTTATGTTTTTAAGTTTCTAAGAGTATACAATATTTGATAGCTTTAAAAATATTTACCTGGAACAGGACCTTTATCAATATTTTAATCCAAAGTATCTTCTATTGGTTAAAGCACGATCACTTATGACTCTGAACTTCAAATTCTCGATATATATATATGAACTGATAAAATAATGACACAAATAATATAGCTATTCACGAGTTCTAATTAAATGATAGCGTATTGAAACAACTCTTTTTTCCTCAAACATTGACCTTTGCCGAAAAAATCTGAAAGTGCCGGATAAAATCGCATTAATTGGTATCCTGTGATGTTTTAGGCTACCAAAAATGCGCGGTTTCAGTTAATTTGCATTATTTTGTCGTCGTTTTCGATCACCCCCCACAATTTACCCTCTCCCTGACGACCTAGTTTTTATCACAGGCGGGTGGTGATTTATTACATTTATTTTTGGGTTTTTGAGGAACTTTCATTTTTGTTACTGGAATCCTGCATCTGATGGTATGACTTTTTTGTACCTGATGCAATAATAAATCTTATAGATTGTAAAACTACATACATAGTTTAAACATTCTCTTTTGGCTATTATTATTAGAAAATTTTTAGTTATAAATATGTAACCATGTTACATGTCTATTAATTTAAATTTTTCGCAAAATATGCGCCTAATTCTTAACTATTTCGAGTTTTTAACTTTTGAAATGAGATGTTTTATTTTTAAAAATACTAGTATGTGAGGGTGGTGTTTAATTAGAAGAACGTTCTTAGTTGTCGGAATACTACAACTTTTATATTTCATTATGTTTACTAATTCTGCTCGTCATTCTTCACATATTCATAGTACTTCAATTACATTTCATCAAAATACGTAAGAGTACTGAGTAATGATACAGATCGACGAAATGTACCTTTTTGCCTGTTAAATGAATTTGAATAGTTGTTTATTATGGAACAATCATTCTTTACATATTCATAGTACTTCACATCAAAATACGTGAGAGTACTGTTTGATTAATGATACAGATCGACGAAATGTACCTTTTCGTCTGATAAATGAATTTGAATAGTTGTTTATTATGGAACAATCATTCTGTACATATTCATAGTACTTCATTTACATTTCATCAAAATACGCAAGAGTACTGAGTAATGATACAGATCAACGAAATGTACCTTTTTATCTGTTAAATGAATATGAACAGTTGTTTGTTATGGAACGATTTGCAACATACAAGTTTATTTTTTTAATTCAAGATGAACATTTTAGAATAGTATAAAATACTAATTTTATTTAAGCTACTTGCGAGTATTAATACAAATTAATATGTCATTTGGAGATATTTCCGTATTGTGATCTGTTGCGCCAACTACTACCACTAAGGCGCTAAATGGATTTTAAACTTGCATTTTTTTTTTTTTTAAAGAAACACGTAGAATTGTTTGCCCGGGAGTTGCCAAAGCTTGGTGATTATTCTACCTCAAATCACGATACGGAAATCTTTCCTGACATTTTTACGGTTTTTTACTTGTTTTGAGGTAAATAAACATTCATTTTTAAAGTCCAGCACTAACTTGCATGGTTAGTTGGATACCATTTTTTAACGTTAAAATATGAATTTTATATCATATTTGAAAATGTTCTAATTGATTTTTAATTAATTTTTGTTGCATTTCAAGAAAATTTTTAATAAAAGGAGATTTAGAGTCTGAAATAAGCATTAAAGACTCTTGGTGTCAGCAAAAAAAAAAAAAAAAAAANAAAAAAAAAAAAAAAAAAAAAAAGGAAAATCACGCATATGCGTACGTCATATTTGAAGTTTTTCGTGTTTGCTCACCACTTTAGCTTGACTTTTTTTCTAATATATTTCTAATTAGTCGTAAAATGCATATTGTTGCATCATTTACTTTTGAAGAACATCATAATAAGACTTAGTAATTGGAATCTAACATAGATTATCATAAATGCTCTTCACTAAATCTCTCCATAACTCCAGTTATCGAAAAACATCTTATGTTCTATACGAACATCAATAGAACAAGAAGTTTTGACCTTATGTCCACGAAATTAGCTGTTGTCGAAACACAAAGATGGACTTAACCTTCGGCGTCTAACGGCATCATCTTTGTTCCATTGTTCGAATATGACCCCTTCCTTCGACTTTCTCTTCTAAAATCTGACTTTTATGACCTTTTGTCTTACAAGTTCAAGTACTGATGTAGAATGCATAAGTGGTTTTATAATTGGATTGAACTCAACCGATACTATAAATTGTATTTGAAAATGAAATAAATCATACACTCGATGGTGTTATAAAATGTAGTGTTGTAAAGTCGAGTGTAAAACTGTTAAATTGATCTATTGTTTTCGTTATGAAAAAAAACAAACTTTAATATTATATGTAATTATTCAGTTTCATATTGATCTTATCGTCAAACATTTTTGCTAGTTTGTTTATTTTATTTCGACTTTTCTTTTATTAACAGATTGTTTATAAAAGGACCCCGCATAAATCTTGTGGAAATTAATTCTCAGTCTTCTTAGTTGGAAGTTTAATATGTAGTTCAAAACATACTGATCAAAAGTTCTCATTAACACAATTAATTGTTACCGAGATGGAAGCCTGAAGCATAGTTATTCTCAATTTCCGAATATCATCACATTATTAGAATTAACCACTGTGCACCACGTTGAGGTTGTCGAATCAGATTCTGCACATGAAAGCGTTGGAAGTTTGATTAAGTAATGAAAAAGCTTGCCCATCGTCAGAACGTCCAACGCTAAATGATTAGCTAGCATTGCTTCTTCGTTTAAATTCACCAAGCCAACATTGCGAATAAGCATTGGCTTCGCACCTTTTGTATCTCGAAAACTATACATTTTTGGAGATGAGAATTTTCGATCAGAATGTTTTGATCTATAACAGGGGTTTCCAGCTTACATGAGGCCGGGGGCCACAATTAAAAACACCAGTCAAATGGCGGGCCGCAACTTTATCAAAATTTTATATTGAACTCTTTTATGTTTGAAGGAACATTAAATATTACTGTCAGATTTTTATCAAGCTTTACAAAACAAAAGTATTGAATTGCAAATTAAAATAAGAAAGAGATTTTAAAAAATATTTAATTGCATATGAAAAAATTCTGGCTACAATAACTTTAATGAGCACCCATGTATTAAACAATTAATGTGCAATAGATATCTAATTGTTAAGATATAAAACTTTAAAAAGGTTGGTATTCAAACTTTCATAGTAGCACACAAAATGTTCAACGAGAGAATTGAGGTTGGTCTGCTGCAACCAAAAGAGAATAGATGTTTACATTTTAAATTTACAAATGCAAATAATTTCGTTCAAAATGAGTGGTTTCAAAAATTTAAATCGGAGAATTTCTTCGAGAAAATTTCTNTATGTTTGAAGGAACATTAAATATTACTGTCAGATTTTTATCAAGCTTTACAAAACAAAAGTATTGAATTGCAAATTAAAATAAGAAAGAGATTTTTAAAAGTATTTAATTGCATATTAAAAAATTTGGGCTACAATAACTTTAATGAGCACCTATGCATTAAACAATTAATGTGCAACAGATATCTAATTGCTAAGATATAAAACTTTAAAAAGGTTGGTATTAAAACTTTCATAGTAGCACACATAATGTTCAACGAGAGAATTGAGGTTGGTCTGCTGCAACCAAAAGAGAATACATGTTTACATTTTAAATTTTAAATTTACAAATGCAAATAATTTCGTTCAAAATGAGTGGTTTCAAAAATTTAAATCGGAGAAGAATTTCTTCGAGAAAATTTCTGAAACGCAACATGCTAAATTATATTCAGAAAAAAAAAAAAACGAAATAAAAAAGAGCAACATGCACGATTATTTTTGTATTCGAATAAATATTTTCTTGGATGCAAAACCTGAGAAATAAATTATTTTGCACCGTTGGTATGTTAAATTTCGCAGAAACGAAGAAATTAGGTTTTTTTTTACGAGAAAAGTATTTGAAACTCATATAGATTTTTTAAAATGACAACTAATATATTTTAGTTCGCGGGCCAGAAAAAAAGGGTTCGTGGGCCGCCAGTTGGTAACCACTGATCTGTAACATATTAAATTTTCAACTCATTTGATTAGGAATTAATTTCTATTAGACTTCTGCGGGCTCTTATGATGAAGTATTTCAAAATGAATTATTACAACAATTTTAAAATGTTGATTTTTCTGTGTGTTGGAATTGTCTAAGACGTGTTAGAGATGTCTAAGCTGACGTCACTTTTTTTCATCTGTCCACTGGCAATCCATTAATTATCTCTGAGTTGCTGATAGCAATCAAGAGGAATACGTTTCTATTGGGATGTGAATATGAGTTGCCCAGTAGGAATGGTGCAAACGACAATTGATTAATTTATTCCACACAGTGATGTAGTTCAGTTTCTGGCTTTGATATCTCTATTGGACAGAAATATCACATGGTATAATTCAGTTTTTCCATATGAGTTTCTTGATTTCTTTATCTACCCTCTGCATAAAATTAATAGGTTTTTCAAAATATTATTGTTTACTAGAAAATAATTTTTCTCTTTTGTTTACGGAATTTGTTTATTTCATTCTAGTTTGATTAAAGATATGTTTTTAATAAATGAAAGACATGAAACTATAAGTGTTGTTCATTTATTATATTGAAAAGCTATTGCGTAATATTTACTTACAATGAAACGATGCTAAAGATATTACAATGCTAAAGATATTTAAAATTCGTTTATTAAAACTAGCGGTTCCCAATTTTATTATTTTTTTTTTTGAATATGAAACCCTAAATAATGAACAGTCTTCCGGCGAAACTCTGACTTTATAATGACTTTAAGTTCATTAAGGTAACTGTGAACGTTATAACCTATAAAAGAATGAATATTTTTCATCAGGTGTAATAATAGACAGTGAAATTTCTCTTTGTGCTATACCTAGTCTAGTTATGAATTTGTTTTTGTATCTTAATTTGTTTTGTAATAAGCTGAAAACACATGAAATAAGTCGAGTTACGGTTTACTTCAAAATGAATACTTAAAAGAACTGTTATAAACGTTGAAAATGGTTATTAGGGAAA